GTAGGCTAGGAAACATTGCTCACTCAGAAGTGTTGGGAAAGGTCTGGTGCTATTATTGGCATCCAGGTAGAGAAATTAATGCAGAAGTCTTGACTACTGTGCCCTGCATGTTTCCCTACCTATGAAGATGTCCTGAAGGTAGAGTGCCTGAGAAGCAGGGTTGGTCTGTGCCTTATCTAGAGACTCCATGAGGTATTGAAAGGAAGGAGGAGGCTGGTGCAGGAGCAGAATATGAAGGGAGGCAATAAGAAGACCCAAGCACAACCCAACTGTGCCTTTGCTGGCAGCCTCAGCAGAGAGGCTAAGAACAAACCAGGCTGTGGAGACCAAATTGCTTTAGGACGCACAGAAGAATTTCCATTTCCTTCTTCTGTGGCCCAGAATGCTACCTTGGAGGTGCTGGAGATAAGTAGAAGATTTGATTCACTTGAGCTGTTGAGCCAACACCTCTCACCTCCTCTAAATCGACAGAGTGGTTGAAACTGCCATTTGTTGTTTGCCAATATGGAAGTTACCTTCTGGAAAAAGTGTATCACTTGTTCCTCTCAGTGCTATTTAGAACCTGGCATTTCTGTCTCTGCACTGCCTGTGTAGACTGAAAGCACTCTGAGTCAGGGATAATTTTTTTCTTGTCTCTACACAGTGCTGGACACACTAGCTATGGTAAGGAAGTGATAAATATCATAATTCTATTATGATGGCAGTCAGGTGTGTACACTTGCTCACCATGAATCATGGGCTCTATGCATGACCCATAGGGTGACTTCCTCTGGTGGGTGGTATGCAGGAGATCAAACAAGCTAATCAGAATAGCCCCAAGAGTCACACTGAGGGTGCCTGCATCATCCGTCTTCTCTACCCCAGTGGGGATTTGGAAAGCCATCCTTAAAGCCTTTCATCTTAAAATCAGTTTGTCATGTTCAGAAGACTATCATTATGGAAGACTGACTGCTCTGCCTCAGCAGTGGAGCTCCAGCCCAGCACATCTAGAGCATGAATGCTAAACCTGAGCTGAGGAACCACCTGGGGACCAAGACAGATTCCAACACCAGGTGGGTCAGTCAAGGAGGGTGGATAGCAGGAAGGGAGGGAGGGGAAGATTGCACATACTGAGTTGTAGGTTAGAGCAAGATTTTGTGGAGAACATGCTAGCAAAGTGGTACTGTGGCCCAGCCATGATGGAAAAGTCCCAGAGTTTACAGTCATGTTGAAATTTTTGATCTACCTGTCATTTAATTGTTTGCACCCAAAAATAGAAGATTTGAAACCAGACCTGGGCTCCGCTGCTGCTTCTGGATCATGAGTGACGATGTCTACATGAGATGCTGACTGCACAGTTGTTACTGCATAGTCATTTAGTGCTTGTAAAAACAAGGACTAAATGACTGCTCGTTAATCGGAGTTACTGCACAGTTGTGCTGAGAAATGGCTTTTTTTTGTGATACTTACTGGGCAGTAGCACTGCAACACGCTTCTTGCCATGCAACGCTACTGTACAGTCAGCTTTTTGCATAGACACAGCCAGTGTCAGTGACCTCATTCAGAAAGAGGCATGAGCAGACCCAAAGAAAAACTCTATTCTATTACTCTCCCACATGCCTTGACAGCCTCTGGGTTGCTTGCTGGTTCATAGCCTTGCCAGGAGAAGGTTTTCTGCTACATGGGAACAGGCCACCCCTGCTGGGCAGGTCTTGGCCATGCAGATGTCTCTGCCATAAAAGTGTGCTGCCTGAATAGCTGCCTCCCTGTAGTCAACTGATCCTGAATCAACGCTGTCTCTTGCTTCCAATTTGGTGAGAAACTGGTTTCAGAGCCATTCTTCTCCTTGCTGTGACATTAGCTAGATGCCCATGTTGCTATTTGGATGGGTCCAAGAAAAAGTCTACAATGTACATGGAAATGAGCTTTCAAAGGACACATCATCCTTGAAAAGATACAGTTATCTTGATACTAGGCATTGGTTTTAGTGGGGTTTGGCAAGTTCCTCATTGGGCAGCACAGTTATTAGAATGAAAGTGCAATATCATTTTTTATGGCCAATCATAAAGCTTAATCAGTTTAGAAATGGTAAATAGCATGAGACAGCAAAGCCAGTACATAGAAATAACAGCTCTACCCAGTTCTGTTTTGCTCAAGAACAGTTCTTCACGTATCGTTATGCAAAGCAGTTGTGGTACTGTAAGCAGAGTAATTCTGGGTCCATTTTATGATGAGTTGATTTCACTGGGGATCTAGCTCCTATGAGAAGATACCTATTTTTTTACAATATTGAAAAAATAATAAATTACATTATTGAGTAGTGAACCTCATTGCAATTAGTCAAGCCTTAGAGAAACAGACAGCCTCGTAAACTTTAAAACCTCCTGCCTAGGACACCAAATAGTCATACCTGAAAGTCCAGATACAGAGTAGGTGTCAAAAATACACATCCATCTGAATTACTCCATGGAGACAACCAAATAAACAATAGGCAAACTACCACTTTTCTCTGTGTCATTGTGGTTCATAGGCCATTTTGTATATATATAGGAATGGTTCACATGGTAGACGCATGGAGTTCAAAAAGCTCCAAAGAGCCACTGAAGGATGAAGTGAGAAATTGTATTGTTTCTTTTTTGGAGGATGCTTATTCAAACGCACAGAGGCTGCTGGCAGATATAAAGGCAGTCACACAGGTGGGGTTTGAAGAATTTTATGCTCCATTCCCCAAATTGCATGACTTGCCATGTCAGATGTGCATGGCAAATTGTGTGATTCTGGAAATGGGCCTTAAAATTCCTAAAACCCTACTTGCACAAGCTGCCAGTGGTGGAGGGGGAAGAGGGGGAGTAGGCAGCTTTCTGATTCCCAGCTGCACCTCCCACACACCTGGAAACAGTGGCTGAGGAGTCAGCAGCTCTGCCCTCCCTAGGTGTTGCTTTCACAGGTGCCCAGAAACATAAAGAAGTGGGCATGCAGCTGGGGCTCCCAGCTGCACGCCTGCTTTTTAAAGGTGCAGAGTGCAGTGAGCCTGACATTGGGAAGCCTTTCCCTGATGTTGCGCTCAAATCCCCCAGACCTCCAGAAAGTGGACATGCTTCTGGGAGTGTGTTACCTTTTCCAGAAATGTAGGACAAGTGCCAGGAACATAAAACTAAGGAAGAACCTTTGACGTCAGGGGTGGGCAGGGAGGGAATGCCTTGGAGTTTGAGAGCTAGACTCCCCATGGAGGTGGGCCAAATAAAGACCAGTAGAGAGGAATTAACAGAAGTGATGGTGAAAGCTGCCCTGTCAGTGCCAGACAGCGCAGTAATTCCTGCCCTTTGGGACATCGTGAAATTCTGTGACTTGGATTTCCCTGAGAAAAGTTACAGAAACTGTGCTTGGATATAGCATTTCTGGAAAGGGTAACACATGTCCTCCTTGTGGACACACATGGCCCCTGTGGAGATAAGGTGGTCTGGGGAGACAGTTTGGTCACAACTTTCAGAGGGCTTTCCTTGTTCAGGAAGGGTGCAGGCCATTGGGAAAGCTGGACAATCTGACCTAGGCTCAGTGGTATGCTCAGGTCTCCACATGGTGCTCCTGCAACCCATGGCAGCAGGACAGCCAGGGAATCTGTCCCTCAGGCTTGGAGGTCTCAGAGGCTAGGGGCAGACATTCAAAAATCTGGAGCCTGAATTGATTCAACCTTTGCAAGTTAGTCCAACCTGCCTAGGTTGAACCAGTGTGTAACAGGGCAAACATTCTCTCTGGACTGAGGAAATGCAAGCACACGCTCAGGGCAGCACCTGGTGGAATAAACCCCCTCCTGCTGAGACGGAGCTGGCCCCAAGAGTGCTGCTCTGAGTGCAGACTGAGTGTCAGCTACGGCCAGGTTGAGCAGACCCAGCTGTGGTGCCCTGAGGGCAGAGCGGGGAATAAAACACTGGTAACTCGTGGTACCTGCCTCCTCCACACAGAGGCCCTGCAGGCAGCGTCTGGCCCTGCTCCCACCCCTGTCCTACCGCTGAAGCAGCAAGTGGGGAGCAGGCCCCGTCCCTGTTTCCTCAAGCATCAGCCTCTTCCTGGTGGGAGCTGTGATGCAGGACTTGTAGAGCTGCTGCAGAGCGTGGTGGCGCTGTGAGAGGCTTGCAGGGCTTATGCTCCCCATTATGACAGGAGCAGCTGCCCCCAACAAGGGCCCTGCCCCTTCCCGCTGCAGTGGCAGGGCAGGGACACGGCCAGAAAGGGCCCTTTGGGAGGGGGGCAGAGACGGAAGTTATTCCTTCTCCCTCCGGCGTCCACTGGAGGGGACAGCAGGAGGCCTGTTCTGCCACAGGGAGAGAGTGCAGTGGCGATGGCGGGCAGACCCAGTTGCCAGTGCGGGTAGAGGGGAGGCTAACTCTCTTCTCTGCCCCCTTTGCCTTGGGGTCCATGATGCCCTCCTGCTACAGCAGTGAGCGGGAAGCGCCCAGCAGACCTGGCTCGGGTGCCTATCTGTGGAATAGAGAGCGGGGAATTAAACCCCTCTCTGGCCAGACCCCCTGCTCCTGCCTGTCCCTGCTCCAGCTGGGAGCAGAGGAGTGGGGCCAGCCTGGCTGGGCTGGAGCAGAGAGCGCAGCCCACAGAGCATGTCAGGATGCTGGGGGAGTCTGGTTTAACTTAAACCAAGAAGGGGTCTGGGACAGATATTGCATGAACCAGTTTAAGCCAAATCAGTTAAGTCTGATACTACGTTCAATCAGATTTATCTTAAACTGGTTTCAGCCATTTTGTGCACTGAATGTCTGGTCTGTTACAGATTTAAACCAGTTTCTGATCACTTAAACTGGTTTATGTGTAATGTCTGTCCCTAGCCAGGGTGAAGAGTTAGGCAAGCTGTGGGTGGTGCATTTCGTTCTTTGGCCTTGCCCATTCTATGTGCAGTGGGTGTTTCCCCATAGGCTGCCCTGGTCCAGCCCAGTTGGAGCCTGCCCTCCCCTTCTCTGCCTGGAGATAAAAGGGCAGGGAGAAGGCTGCCATGGGAAGAGGAGCAGAAGATGACAGGTGAGATGCTGGTGTATATAATGCTTGCTTTTTCTTGAGCAGAGCTATAGGAGGAACAGGAGAGAGCTGCACTCTGAGTGCACTGAGAAGTTCTTGACTGTTCCTTAGCATAGTCTTTGTGACAGCCTCCCTTTTCTGTCCTGGTCTAGTGCGGGGCATTGTCTTTGCTCTGTGTCGTGCATTCTGTCTCTGGCAGTTGTGCAGTCCTGTTGGGCAGTGGTGTAGTAAATGAAACCATGGAGCTCCATGATTATATGCTGTTTCCTTTCTACAGGTCTTCTGAGGTGTCTCTCTGATGCCTGCATTGCTTGGTCAGGTTTCCTGTACTACTGGGCAAGGGAGGCTTCCAACTCCCATCTGTACATCAGAGCCTGCCTTCAGTGTGCATCGTTGCAGCTTCAGGAAGCCTTGTTGGGGGGTGGGACTAGCAGCTGTAGGAGGATCAAATATTGTCACCACAGCCGCCAGCCTGAAATGATCAAAATCATGAGACAGGCTCCAGATTTTGTGGGATGGGCTAAAAAACATGAGATTAAAACAGTAACCCAGTTGGGTCTCTGCAGCTTGGGCTCTGAGCTGCAGGTTGAATTTGCAACGTGTTCTCAAGCTTTTCCTTGTAATAGGCAGGACTAGCATTAACACTGTATATAGTACATGTGTGTCTATATGAAATGCACCTGAGAGTGTCAGGTAATCACGTGACTCCAGGAGCTGGGGATAGGAAGCGTCACATATTATGAAAGATTTGTGCATGGTTTGCGTTGCCCTTATTGATCGCACTGAATGGCCTTGGCCTCCACAGAGGGCCTTGCACACTGGGTTGTGGGCCTACTGTAACCACACAGCTGGTACCTCTCCCTACTAGAGAGATGAGTGACAGCTTCTTTGATTGTCTTTGCCTGTCCTGCCTTGGCACATGCAGGGCGGAATAGCCCTATACCACTCCATCTCTGTTCAGGAGCTTGCTCTGAGCAGTGTGGGGCAGAGTGGAGCAGTAGTGTGACTGTAATACTTCAGCTGATCTCTGCTGCTGGATGGCAGATGCAAAGGGAACAAATGAAGCTCATTATAGATCAGAGCCAACCCTGGGGATCATTCTGATCCCTGGGTTCCTCTATGGGCAGGAACGTACAAAGTAGTGCTTGCTGCCACCTTGCCTCCTGCTGCAGTAGGCATTGCCTGGCCACAGCCCAGAGCAAGGGAGTCTTACACAAGCTTCTCAAGCCAGCAGGTTGCTATATAAACTTACCCTGCCCCTTCCTGAGCACAGTCAGATGGACATTATGTTCCTGTTGAGACTGGCTCCTGTGAGTCTGAGCTGGGGATAACTGTCCCAGCCCAAGCGAATAGCAGTCATGTCAGAAATTTTAGGTGCTTTGCAAATGTAATTTTGGCTGTGTATTGGTCAGCCTTGGATCTGCAGTGTAGTGTGGGAGATGTCATCTTCCAATCCAGGTCTTATGAGACAGTGGAGCCCACGAGGCAATGCTTTGAGGGACTGCACTATTACACAGAAGTTCCAGAAAATGCATTCTGACTCTATGAATGGGCTGGATGGAGAGTTGGATATTTTTGTGGTTAAAGCTGAGGCTGAGGACTGAAAGGGTCATTTCCTGGTCCTGGTGTAGATTTCTGTAGGGGTTGGCTAAACCATTTATTTTCTCTGTATCTTACATTTTCCCTCTTGTCTGTTCCATGATAAGGTCTTTGAGATGAAGACTGTCTTCTAGTGTGTGCCCATGCAGTGCCTGGCATAGTGGGGCCTGAAGCTCACTAACTGCATAGGGACATCGCCGTAATATTAGGACTACTGACTCATGTAGTACCTTTGATCTTTGACCTGTTCTGAACTGGCCAGGAATAAATTCAGGCTAGATAGTTGAAGGTTTGTCAGTCTCAGAGGGTTGTGGTTCTGGAAAAACTTCCAGGAGGAATATTGGGGACAGAAAATGTCCTCATTTAAAATCAATCTTGATCAGTTTGTGAAAGGGATAATTTGATGAGGTGGCTTGCAATAGCAGAAGGCTGGAGTCAGTGACCCAAGAGGTCCCTTCTGGTCCTATGTCCGACATTGCTAAGATCTGCTCTTCCACTAACAACACAAGTGACAAAAGCCATACCCTGTTCCTGCAAGATACTGGCAGGGTTTTTAGGGGTTTTAAATATTTGTTTTGCATTTGTCCTGAATTATAGGAAATTTTAAGAGTCTTGGACATAAAACTCAAGTAACTGCCTGGCCAGTAGACATTTTACTTGATAGGGCCATGACTCAAAGCAGACAACAAAAAGTGAGCAAAGAGATGGCAGGGAGAGTCACATAAAATTAGGGAAAGCAAGCTGGAGATAAACAGAGACTGCCTATCAGTTCTCTGATAAGAAGGCTGCTCCTATCTGTCATCCCAGAACTTTGCAGTAGCCTTTCCTCCAAGTGACTTAAAAAGAATAACTTCCAGCAGCCTCAGAGCACAGGTCTCCTCCTTCAATCTGCTACAGACTGATCGATTGGGGCAGGCCAAGTTAATTGCTCCCAGTGTCGTAGCAGTGACTCCCCACCGAACTCATTCCAGAGTCATCCTGTTCTTAACAGTGGCTACTTGTTATCATATTAAAAGCACTCCACAACCCTCTCTTTAACAGACAGTTGGGCTTCAGAAACAGCTTATGCTTTATGCTTGGCAGCAGCACTTGCATTCCTTTCCTTCCTTCCTGTTCACGCCTGTATCTGGGCCTGGTCTCTGCTACACAAAGAATAGGACTGTTGAGGGTCACAGCCTAACAAAGAAGATGGCTTAGGCAGGACATGATTTAGTACCTGATGATGGCCCTTTCCACTGGTTCTTGGACACTTCTTTTAGCTTCTGTATTTTCAGTGCTGACACTTTTACAGTGAACTCCTGATCCTCATGGAGATAAAGTTGCCCTCAGAGCCCTTTAGGGAAGGAAGGGAGAAGGAGGGGAGGGGAGCTGTGGTACAGATGGGCTGCTTCAGCAGAGTGAAAAGCATTTAACACATTGAAAAGGAGTGATGTAACAGATTTTCTGCTGTTCTCAGACAATAAGAGAGGCAGTATCATCCAAGCAGACTGGGTGAGGCCCACACATTTTATGTACTGGGCTTCAGTTTCCTCTTTCACTGGCTATCTCCATTGACTGCAAGGGTGTTTCTCCTAGCCTACTAAGGTACAAATGAGATTAGGACTAAGATGCTGTACACCTTCAGGGCTGAAAACACTCTCTCATTTCTGAAGAGCTATTACATTCTCATCCAATGGGAAAGGCAGTTTGGAGCTGGGGGGTCACAGGTCTCCGCAGATGATGGTGTCACAACTCCTGGTATTAAGTTATTTTGCCAGGTGAGTAAAATCTATGGGTTCTTTGCATTTACCACTAATAACCTAGGGTATTTCTGCTTCTTTCCAGAGGTGAAGCCATGTATCACCCTCTTGGGATTCCTGGTAACCCTGAGTCTGTTCCAGGTGTCTGGCTCCTCATATGGTATTGTCCCCTTCCTCTTCTTCCTGATACTCTCAGCTTACGATACATTTTTTTCTTTATACTTTGAGTTAAAGGGTAAAAAGTTGAAACCTTGAGTACAAAGTTAAAACCTTTTACATTGAGCCAGATCCTATTCCATCGTGCTTGAGTCCCAAATTAACAATGAATATGTCTGTTGTATCACATGTCATCTTAGTCCTAAAACTGTCGCAAACATCAGGGAGGAGGATGAGTGCTCACCCACCCATGGGTTTTCAGAGGCTTGAGCAGGGTGGGCTAGGACCATAGTGAGGTGCAAAAATACTACTTGGTGTAACAGGATATGGCCTAAGATATGAAATGTGGGCGAGAATGACAGTACTAAGGGACCCTGAACTGTGTGGTTACCTGGGGTAAGAAGAGAGGTCAGACAGTGTTGGAGTGGATGCAGGTTTGGGAAGGGGATATGGCCTAGTCCCCGACTAGCAGACTGATTTGTGGGGAGAACTGATGGGAAGTCCTCACATCCCATTCTTTTGACCAGGTATTTCTGGGAAGCTGTCGGATCCATGCATTCTTAACAACATCAATGAAGCCAAGCACCTGGTGGATGCAGCATATAAGCACGCACGGGAGAGGTGAGTTCCCTGTTTACAGCCTTTATGCATCTTGTATACTTCCACTCGGAGGTACTGCCAGGGATTTGAGGGTCCTTGGTTGCAGAGCAAGTGTTGCAATGGTTGAAATCTATCTTGGGGTAAGAAAAAATCCTCTGCATACAATGGGCTGTAATTTAATATCTGACCCTAAAGGAGTGCTGGGGTCTGTGCAGCCTGGGGGTCCTTGACATCATTTCCAGGGTGCTGGGGCCACTATGCAACGATAGTGCTGTTAGGCATGCAAACACAATTCACTGGATAAACCCAGAGATTTCAAATAGGAATCCACAGTGTCAAAAACATGCTGACCTATTCTGCTTTTTCTGGGTGCATCTCCACATGCAGGGGTGTGCATTTGCAATAGGGAAAAAATTAGCAGCGTAAATTTGTGCCAGTAGTTTTTGCCATTGTGCATGCCCCTGCACATGGATTTGGTGTGGGGCAAAATGTCCCACTTCAAGGAAACTGCCATTTCCACACTCATCCTGGCTCCTGGTGTGCTGGAGGAGCTAGGAAACAACTACAGAAGGGGAGACGCTCTGGCCAGTAGCCAAAGTGTCTCCTGGGAGGACCGAGCCTCTGTGCCTGCCAATGCATGCTCCTGGAGTGTGTGCTGCACCACTTTTTTGGTGTGATTTATTTTTTTTGCTTCTGGGATTTCCTGGTAGCAAATTTTGCCCCCACGTTGCAAATTTGTGGCATGAGCCACATTTTAACACGCCAGGTGTTACTTTGTGAGCAGAAACTAATTAAAAGTAATCCTTTAAGAAATCTCATCTTTTGAGTCACAGGTGTTTCTGAATCATTCTAGCTAACTGATGGCTTATTAACAAATATGCTTTCAGCATAGTTGACACACATTGACAAGTCTAGGGGTGCACCTACGCGTTGCCATATGGCAATGTTGCTATGGCGCTGTGCTTTAGTACTTCCTTGTTGAAATATTAAAGCACAGTGCAGTAACTACCCATACTGTGCTGTGCTTGCAGTACATGGTTATCTTTCTCTGCTATGTCACTGTAGCAATGTAGTAAAACAGGGGAGCGTGCCACTATGGTGACATAGCTACCAATTACATGTAGACCCATGTGAATACTATGTTGTCGTAGTGTGTCACTACATTGTCATAGGGTGACATGTAGATGTGCCCTAGAAGTAGGCTTGTTTTAGAAGATTGGGTCAAAGTTCTTCAGTATTATTAAAACTGTTATTTAAATGGAGTTAAGGATGGGAGGAGAAATGAGTAATTTGTAGGAAAAATAAAAACACTGCAGGGATATTGTAGCTCTAACAGGAGAGATTACCAATCCAAAAAATTTGGGGTTAGTTATAGTGAAATCCAAACATGTCACTCTTGTTCTTTTTCTAGTCTTCTTCCACTTTGTATGAAATACTTAAATATTCATTGGAGCAGGGACTGAAATTCAGGTTTTCAAATGAGTGTCCTAATCAGTGTATTAGAGTCATATTCATATACATACACATATTCATAGTCTCTCTCTCTGTCTCTCTCTCTCTCTCTCTCTCTTCCTGACCTAATGAATATTCAGGTGTTTTTATCTGCTTCAGTGGGTTCTTCTACACATGCACATTTACTATGCAGTAACCAAAATTACTGTGCAGCACGGGCATGCGTCTACATGTGCATGCCCATACTGCACATTAAATATGGTGACTTTTGCCAGCTTGAGCGTAAATTTGATACCTGTATCATGCAGGTATCAATTTTATGTCTGACTAGTTACTGCCTAATAATGTATGTGTATCATAGAGTCATAGAAAATTAGGGTTGGACGAGACCTCAGGATGTCATCTAGCCCAACACCCTGCTCAAACCAGGACTAGCCCCAACTAGAACATCCCAACCAAAGCTTTGTCTAGCCTGGTTTTGAAAACCCCCAAGGATGGAGCTTCCACCACCTCTCTGGGTAACCTGTTCCAGTGTTTTACTACGCTTCTAATGAGAAAATTCTTCCTAATATCTAACCTAAACTTCCCTTGCTGCAGCTTGAGACTGTTGCTCCTTGTTCTGTCATCTGCCACCACTGAGAACAGTCTATCTCCATCCTCTTTCAAACCCCCCTTCAGGTAGCTGAAGTCGGCTATTAAGTCTCCTCTCAGTCTACTCTTCTCTAGACTAAATAAGTCCAGTTCCCTCAGTCTTTCCTCATAAGTCATGTCCCCCAGCCCCCTCACCATTTTGTTGCCCTCTGCTGGACTCTCTCCAATTTGTCCACGTCCTTTCTGTAGTGGGGGGCCCAAAACTGAACACAGTACTCAAGATGTGGCCTCACCAGTGCTGAATAGAGGGGAATAATTACTTTCCTTGACTACTGGCAACACACTTACCAATGCAGCCCAGTATGCTGTTAGCCTTCTTGGCAGCCAGGGTACACTCCTGGCTCATATTCAACTTATTATCCACTGTACCCCCAGGTCCTTTTCTGCAGAGCTGCTGCCCAGCCAGTCAGCCCCCAGCCAGTGCATGGGATTGTTCCGTCCTAAGCGCAGGACTTTGCACTTGTCCTTATTGAACTTCATGAGATTCCTTTTGGCCCCATCCTCCAATTCGTTGAGTTCATTCTGAATCCTAGCCCTACCCTCCAGCCTATCTACTACTCCCCCCAGCTTGGTGCCATCTGCAGACTTGCTGAGGGTGCACTCTGTGCCACCTTCCAGGTCATTGATAAAGGCATTGAAAAGTTGATACCGGCTGCCAACTAGACATTGAGCCATTGATTACTATCCATTGAGCCTGATGCTTCAGCCAGCTTTTTATCCACCTTACAGTCCATTCATCCATGTTTCCTTAGCTTGCCTGTGAGAATGCTGTGACACCATATCAAACCCTTGCTAAAATTAAGGTACACCACATCCACCAGTTTCCCTGTATCCATAGAACTAGTCACCTCATCACAGAAGGCAGTCAGGTTGGTCAGACATGACTTGTCCTTGGTTAATCCATGCTGACTGTTTTTAATCACCCTTTTCTCCTCCAAGTATTTAGAAATGGATTCCTTGAGGATCTGCTCCATGATTTTTCCAGGAACTGAGGTGATGCTGAGTAGTCTGTAGTTCCCTGGATCCTCCTTTTTCCCTTTCTTAAAGATGGTCACCATATCTGCCCTTTTCCCAATAGTCTGGGCCCCCCTGATTGCCACAAGTTTTCAAAGATAATGGCCACAGGCTCTGCAATCACATCAGCCAACTCCCTCATCACCCTCTGATGCATTGCATCTGGTCTCATGGACTTGTACATATCTAGCTTTTCTAAATGTGTCTTAACATGTTCTTCACCACTGAGGGGGGAAGGTGAGCAGCCCAAACTGTGCTGCCCAGTGCAGTAGTCTGGGAGCTGAACTTGCCTGTGAAGACTGAGGTAAAAAAGGCATTGAGTACTTCAGCATGTTCTGCATCATCTGTCACCAGGTTAGCCTCCCCATTCAGTAAGGGACCCATGCTTTCCCTTATTTTTCTCCTGTTGCTGACATACTTGTAGAAACCGTTTTGTTACCTTTCACATTCCTTGCTACCTGCAACTCCAGGTGTGCTTTAGCCTTCCTGATTTCATCCCTGCATGCCCAAACAATATTCTTATACTCTCCCTAGTGGTCTATCCAAGTTTCCACTTCTTGTAAGCTCCTTTTTTGTGTTTAAGCTCACCACAGAGTTTTCTGCTAAGCCAAACTGGTTACCTTCCATATTTGCTATTTTTCATGAACATTGGGATGGTTTGTTCCTGTGTTCTCAGTAAGGTTTCTTTAAAGTACATCTAGCCCTCTTGGACTCCTTTCCCCCTCAAACTGGCCTCCAAGGGGATCTTGCCCATCAGTTCTCCAAGGGAGTCAAAGTCTGCTATTCTGAAGTCCAGGGTCCTTACTCTGCTGCTCTCCTTCCTTCCTTTTGTCAGGATCCTGAACTCAATCATCTTGTGGTCACTGCTGTCCAAATTTCCATTCACTACTACATCTCCCACCAATTCTTCCCTGTTTGTGAGCAGCAGGTCAAGAAGATCACAGCCCTTAGTTGGTCTCTCCAACACTTGCACAAGGAAGTTGTCCCCAACATTCTCCAAAAACTTCCTAGCTTGCTTGTGCAAACTTCCTAGATTGCCTGTGCATATCATAAAGCTTTAAAAATGCCTGAACTGGAACTGTGTTTATTTCATGATGTTTTTGGAACGGAGTGTTGAGGTCATTTAGAAAGTAAGATGGAAGGGGCCATTTGGAGGCAGCATGCTGAGTACAAGAAGGAATGGTCCCTTATCAGTTTACTAGGGTAAACTGTATGGATAACATCTCCCCATGTCAAAGGGTGAAAGGCTTCCGGTTTGTACCTGAAGCAGGTCATGCTTAAGGTCTGGAACTTAAAGAGTGATCCTTGTAATACTGGTGAATGTGTCCAGTGAATACTTATTTTATGCATAGTTGAATGGTATTAATATGGGAGTCTGAAAACTCCCCGCCTTGTTGGGCATTTTTGGAGTACACCTGTGCTCTGGTGAAGCTTGGGGAGGAGTTGGGAGCAGCTGTGTTCCTTTAAACCAAACAGTCTAGTTAAAGCAGTGGGAGTTTTGGCTTTAGAACCATACTCTAATTCAAACAGAGAAGAAATGACTTGAAACTAGACCTCCCACATCCTCAGTGAGCACTGAAATCCCTGGGTAGTTAGGTAGTTCCTCCTCTGTGCAAGGATCTATTTGCTGTGTTCTGAAAAGACCCACTGGATGAAAGTGCTCACCTTGGACAGAGACATGATTCCCTCCAGAGCTGAGGCACCTTAAGCCTTGGGTGGCAGTGCACATGTCTGCTGGCACAAATGTAGGTACTAAGGGACATTGGTGGAAACTCAGTAGGGGAATTTAGTCATCTCTGGGGTTCAGTGGCAGCTAAAGTGGGGCACTGAAAATCCAAGTTGCATGAATGATTTAGAAACCAGAGTCCTAGCATGGATCTAGTTTATATTATTGCATGAATTGTTTCTTCAGTACTTCATTGTTGGGTCCATCTCCCTGTACTTTGTTTGCTCTTTAAGCCACATCCTCTTTTCTATGTTTCTTTATCACTTCTGTGTGTCTTCTGCACTTCACTGTGTAGTGAGCTGTGCTGTGGGATGGAGGGGAGGAGTGTAGGACTGTTTGTTTTAGAGCTGCAGTTGGATTATTTTTTTTCTTCCAGTATGAAGGAGAAGTTGATGAAGGAAGCTTTTACCCCAGTAGCTTTCCTGCGGTATTTCAAGCAACCAGTGGCAGGAACCAGGACTGCGACACGAGCTGCTGATTACATGGAGACCACCCTGAATCTCCTGAAGGAGAAGCTACAGCCAACCATAAAGGGAGAATTCAATATCACAGGTACATGGTACAGGTTTGTCTTGGCCATTCCTCTTCCAGGCCCTACATCTGCCTAGTCCTTTGGCCCAGTCATAGTCCCCCTGACTTTGATACAGGATCGGGCCCTTAATTAGAAGCAGCCGAATTAGAAGATGAGTGGTTTCAATGTGCAGTCACTCTGCTTCCAGGCCATGATACATGGCAGTACAACATAATCTCTCATACACTATACGTCAAAGCTGCCATCATCTCAGTGAGACGCATGATAAAACACTGAGGAGACCAGAAGTGAGAGGAAGAACTGCAATTTAAGAAAGAGTGGAGTGAGTATAACTAGAGAGTTTTAATCACCAGCTGGCAGAGAGGAAGTGCATAGGGGTTTACATATCCAAAGTGTGATAAAACAGCTACATGTTGTGTACTTTTGCTATACATTGAAAAGATACAGAAACCAATCAGATGCTGACAATTTTGTAAGAAAACCCATCACCAGTTACTAGACAGATACCCATGCAGGTGTACCCTATTTTACTATTTTGGAATGGTTATCAATTTGTTGTCTTCTCAGTATTAAGCCTCCCTATCTTCATGAAAGATGTCACTTTACTTACCTTCCAGGTGTGATCTGCCATAGCCTTGAAACACCCTGCTCATTATATTTTTGGTAGCCTGACCAGGCCTTCTAGGAAGGGAGAGGGAAAGTGGGGGAACTTCGTTAGAAGCAAAAACCAGTGATTCTTACCCAGTGTGCTGTGGCATCCTGGGGTGCCTTGAGATCCTTTTCAAGATGCCATACAGTGTGTACTGTTAGGTGTGCAAATATGAGAGATTTCAAGTAGGAAATCATAGTGTTAAAAATATTATGACCTGTTGTGGTTTTGTTGAGGTCTCTGCAACAGAAGAATTGCTATATTTTTTTCTGTAATCAAAAAATGAGA